ATTCAGGAGAACAAGCATATAAGAAAATAACAGACGATAATATGGATCGTATCAGGTATGGAACCAGAACCAGTATAAAGGTTATAGGAGTTGTGTGTATTGAGGGCTTTTGCACTGACTGAACTCAGTTGTATCAATAATTGAGACAATAGGTCTTATTGACTAGAAACCCATGCAATAGGTCTGTTTACTGCTAGTTGTCATCTTGTCTGGACAGACGTCTGAAGCAGGTATCATTGAATTGATACAAACTTAATCATTTGCAGCATTATTAGACTGACTTTAAAGAATCTGTCAAAGCTTAGTTGTTATTTATAAGTAACTATTTTTATATTTTATGATTTAGACAAAATGGAGTTTGAACAACAGTTAGAAAAAGACTGGAACAGAATTTAAGTCTTAAAACTATGTACATTGTAGATATAGCATGATTAATAATGATAAAACTAGTTCAAAAGTAGGTTGGACATTTTTGCAAATAAACTCATTCGATTGCTGTTTTAAATGTTCCATGTTTGAAATGATATGGGAATAAAATATGAATCGATGTTGGAATAAATATTAATCGATACAGGTAAATGGAATCGAATCGTCTGAGAATATTCTCGATGCACCGTTGTATTGGGGAATTGTGACATCCCTGCTTTCAAGCAAATAACTTGATTGAAGATAAATAATACTGCTTAATAGCAAAAAACAAATTTACCAATGCCAGAAGATTCATATTTACCAATGCCAACACCCCTTTGACAATTGTTCTAATTCTGTCTTGGAGTGCTGGTATGGATATCTGATGAGGTCTGGGGGACATAACTGCTTAGTACTGCTCTCCTCACCACTTATTCCATAGAAATGATGACTTTTAATATGACTTTGGATAAATCTGGGTAAATTGACTATCTTATCAGACAAATATTGACAGCTGGTGGGGAAATAGCATCTATTAGAAGCCTCATCTTGCACCAAGTTTACTTACATATAGAAAGGATGCATTATGGGAGTGAGAGACGGATTCGCGATATGACAAAGATGATCACAGCGCTATCCATTTACAGTCTTCCTTGCATATTGACTAGTTCTATTTAGTCTACATTAAATATTGATGAATTCATTGCAGCTTTGAGAAGGCAACCCTAGTTATAAAGTTTGAAACTTTAGTAATCAGTACTTTATCTGTTCACAAAGTGTTGCAAAGAACGGGTTGATCAGAATGTTTGAAGTTTTCTGAAAAATGGGTAGTTTTTTAGCATGGAAATGAATGGGAAAGGATTGTTATGAACATTGTGGGAATAAGCGTTGCAAAGAACTGGATGATCAGAATGTTTCACTTTTTCTAAATATTTCGTAGTTTTTTAACTTTGGAGTGAAAAGGAAGGGACTGTTATTGAACACTTTGGGGGTGTATGTATGCAGGTCACAGTCTGGAATGATCACTGGTTGAACATTATACCAACCTAGTGCAGGTGATGTAAAATTTGTGAGATGAACTCCACTTTCTTTAGATCTCATTGTTAAACATTGTAATGCATGAATTGACTGAACAGAGCAATAAACTTTCAATTTTCATCAAGATCGCTTTTATTTATGGAACAGCGTTAGAGACTTGTGATCTGTCTGGATGTGTCTGACTGGGGGAATTTAGTCGAGTCGAGAGAAAGAGGCAGACATGGCTTTCAACAGTTGACTAGACAGCCAGAAAGCACAACTTATACGGCAGGTTGAATTCTAAGTACCATGGTTTAATTGACCAAAGGTTCTACAACCGATTTTTTTTTGTGTGTGTGAAGGACTTTAAATCAAGCTTATATGCCTGTCAAAAGACCCTCCCCCCTAATGCAAGGATACAGGACACTGAGACGCCAGTCTTATCAGGATTTCGACGGTATTGTTAACTGGGGATAATTTTCACCTTTGTGCCAATTTTAAGCTCAGAATTCACACAGTTACCTGCATAGCTGTTATGGAATCGACAGGTATATCTCACGGAAAGATTTTATCGGGAGAAAAAAGTTTTTGTGGATATTGAATTCTGTAAAAGAATGGTATTAAATCATTTCCGCTTGAGTAGTTTCATTGTTTGTTGGAGATGTAATCAGTCTCCATATATCGAGTTACAACAGCATTGTGAGAACATGTCAAGAAGTTTCAGATCCTCTTGTTGATAAATGTATTTCAAATCAACTTTGCAAAAATTTGAAGTTCTTGTAAATAATTGCTACTCCACTCTTGAAAGTTTAACTTTCAAAATATTCTTCATTGGTCCGTGGCATGCCTCTCAAATGATTAGGCATTGAAAATACTGTTCTTTCACCAAATGAATCTGTCTACCACATAAAACATACTTCTTGCCATGGAAGACTCTCTCATCATAAAATCAGCACTTAATGAACAGAATTGCTTTTGACTTGTACAGTTTGCGTTATTACAGACCTCGACCATATTCTGACTGAAGGACATAATTGCGCCATATTGAGAAATTCTTTTTCTCAAGTATTTGATTCATGCATTGGGCGAGTTGATCCCGTCATCTGTTGAGTTCAATCCCTGAGGTGCCACCCCACTTTGTCTCCAGTCTTGTATTTAGAATAATCAGCCATGCGTCCACGGATGATATCAAAAAGTGACATGAGTGCAAAAAGCCCTGTATGATTAAGTGATTACGAGCACACTGCATTATATAGGTTTCTATTGGCTTGAATTTCTCACTTGACTGTTCAGCAATGCGTAATTTGAAATACGATTTAAACTGCCTAGACTGTGACTGATTAGAGGGGGTTCGGTTGTGAGACAGTGTATTGCTGATGTAGTTAGTCGACGCCATCTTTATGCTTATCATTGGCATTGCCGTTCATTCACGATGTTGAAATTAATGTTTTCATCTCTTGACAAAGGTAGCCCAAATAAGCTGGTAATTGTCTTTATAGTCATACAGTTCAGCGGAAACATCGTAGTTAATATGCTCGACGTGACATGTATATGAAGCCATCATGGCAGAGTGATTACTGTTGCACTTCGTGGTTCATGTTCTTCGCTCCTGTCAGAAGAGTGGCAGTCGTCTAAGGCTCCGCAAGTCGCTGTGCAGATGCAGAGTTGTTTCCCTTAAGCACGCCAGAGACCTGCATTACTTCGGGCTTTCCTCCCACATTAGGCTGACACGCCATGGAACATAGGAACGCGATAGCGTGTATAGGATAATATATTCGTATAGAAAAAGTGTGATTTTTTCTCTCTATGAATATATTATGCTGTACACGCTATCATCGAGTTCCTGTGAGCTGGAACCCTGTTAACAGTGCATTGTATCGAATTAGCTCACTTACTACTGTGGAGAGGGGTGAGTGGGGTGGCCCAGTGGTTAAAGTGTTCGCACTTTACGTGTGAAGTTTGATTCCACATGGGTACAATATGTGAAGCCATTTCTGGTGTTCCTGCTGTGATATGGTGGAATATTGCTAAAAGCAGCGTGTAACCACACTCACTCATTACCGTGAAGAGAATACACGAAAACGTGAAGTGGAAATATGCCACATGTTATCAGTCTGGGACTTTAGCCACAAGTTTAGTGAAAAGTTTTCTGGTATAGTACAATTAGCTGATGGTCCATATATTGAGACTAAAACAAACTGAAAATAATGCAAACGTTTTTGGCACAGCCTGCATCATTGTTCACTTTTTAGTTAGTCAATATTAATGATAATTAGTAAACAATATTGAGGAAATCATCAGTAACTTGGAAAAATGGGGTGATGGATTAGTCTAGTGGTTTGGCGCTTACTCATAATGCTGAAGGCCTGAGTTTGATTCTCTACATGGGAACAATATGTGAAGTCCATTTTTGGTGTCCCCAGCTGTGATATTGCTGGAATATTGCTACAAATGGTGTAAAACCATCCTCACTACTAAAAGAAACAATCTGTTTGATGTATTAAAAATAATTAGTAAGTTTCCTCTTCATTTTAAATGGTTATGCTCCAAAATACTCGCCAATGTTTGTTAAACATTATTGATGGCCAAGCCAGGAAATACCCTTATGATATAGGCCTGTTCCAGCTTAATGTGTGGTACTGTACAAACGGTAACATATGTATTTCCACGTGTGAAGCACTCGTTACTGTTACTCTCCCTTGATAATCCATTATAGTCAATGATCAGATCACAAGAGTTCCTTTGAAGTGTCTGTGAAAAACAGCGTTTATATCACCGGACAACATGTCCCATGGTGTAAACGTTATTTTTGATTTTACTTGTTTGAAGTAGACATTGGACGATAAATCTGACTTTTGATTCATCCCCTCGTGGCCTCAACTTAAACCATCTCGTCTGTGCTACTGGTGATTGCTTTACGGTCATTGAAAATATTCCACATTTAACTCATTGGCCATTGTTAATACTGCTTTTACTGGGAGACAGTTTTACATACGGGAATTTAAGGGGCTGAGACCTAAAAGAGAATTTCAGTAAAATGATAACACATCTAATGTTGTAATTCAATTTAGGTTACATGAGGTAAATTGGGCATATATTTTATTAGAACAATTTTGACATAAATGTATAAAGAAAAATGCATGAGAACTCATATTGAGACCCTAGATCTGTGTACAGACCTTGGAAAATTCATAAATATTATGAATAGAAAAATGTCGTAAATCATGCACTGCAATTGTTCAGTGGTGAAACTACTTCCAATGTTTATTGGGGGGCACGGGTGACCCAGTCGTCTGAAGCGCCGCGATTCGCTGTGCAGAGTTGCGTCCCTTGGGCACGCCAGAAACCTATGATTGTGGGTTCGAATCCCGGTTTGCCCCGATTATGTTTCTAGGTTTGTCAGCACCATACCCGTGCTCGTGGGTTTCACCGAAGTGGTAAACGTCTGAGACCTGCATCACTTGGGGCCTTTCCTCCCACATTAAGCTGACACGCCATGATATAACTGGAATACTGTTAAAGGCGGCACAAAACCCAACTCACTCACTCCAATGTTTATTGACAGTGATACTTACTTTTACAAATGTGATTCATTTTAATATATCCTGCTTGCATTGCCTCCACTGGTGTTCTTGGGGGCCGATACCACAAGCCATATTTTACTGCAAAAGAAGAAAAACAACGTTATCAAAATGATTCAAAAGAACTACACATTGGTTAACTGTGATCATAATAAATTAGGCACCAAAGGAAACTGTGCATGTAATAATATTATGATTTGATAAAAAATATAAGAAATATATAAGTAAGTATATTAAGTAAGTCCATGTTATATGCCTATAAAACAAGGGGGAATAACTCTCCAGCTTGATAATGGTGTAAGAATTATAACGAATCGGCACTTGGCACTATTCTTGTTTCATACAGTCAGGAAAGTCGGCACTATTCATGTTTCACAATTTGTCAGGAAAGTCAGGACTGTTCAAGTTTGAGACCATTCAGGAAAGTTGGCACTATTTATGTTTCACATCTCCTCAGGAAAGTCGGCACTATTCATGTTTTACACAGTCAGGAAAGTCAGCACTATTCATGTTTCACAGTCAGGAAAGTTGGCACTATTCATGTTTCACACATTCAGGAAAGTCAGCAGTATTCATGTTTCACACATTCAGGAAGTTGGCACTATTTATGTTTCACACCTCATCAGGAAAGTTGGCACTATTCATATTTCACACATTTAGGAAAGTTGGCACTATTCATGTTTCACACCTCGTCAGGAAAGTTGGCACTATTTATGTTTCACACCTCATCAGGAAAGTTGGCATTATTCATGTTTCACACCTCATCAGGAAAGTCGGCACTATTCATGTTTCATATAGTCAGGAAAGTTGGCACTATTCATGTTTCACACCTCGTCAGGAAATTTGGCACTATTTATATTTCACATCTCGTCAGGAAAGTCAGCACTATTCATGTTTCACACAGTCAGGAAAGTCAGCACTATTCATGTTTCACACACAGTCAGGAAAGTCGGCACTATTCATGTTTCACGCCTCATCAGGAAAGTTGGCACTATTTATGTTTCACACAGTCAGGAAAATAGGCACTATTCATGTTTCACACCTCATCAGGAAAGTGTGAAATTCCTGTTTGTCCTGATCTCAGTGGGATGGATAAGATCAAACTGGTTTTTATATTTCCTGATGCAACTCACAACAAAAGGCCACAAGTGGGCTGGATGAGCCAGTCAGGATACATTTCAGAAAGGAATGCATAGACATGTGCCTAAATGTACTTTTACGCACGCTGAGATGAAATCCAATCATGCACATTTCACTGCTAATATCACAAATTCTATGGTGAATGATATATCCATATCGCCATTGAAAAGTAGACAAAGAAATCTACACTAATCTTTGAGAGAATTATTTATTCTGGGCGGGCATGGGATATGGAGGAGGCAGGATACGAGTTAAACCTTGGTGATCAATTGTGCCACATTGTATACTGTGTAAACATCCCATCCATGTGCAATACAAGTTTTATACAATGCTCCCAGCTGTCTGCAGTGGAAGGTCCCACCTTGTAAACAGTATTCCATTTTTCTTTACCAAATGAATTCCTTTTTTAATATCAAAACTAATCTTGAATTAAAAAGTTAATGTTTGCTTCGTATTCAGTATGCTTTCACTCTTTCGATTCTTTTTTAAAATTCTGTACATGTCTTTGGAATAGATGAAGAAAACACTTTATGAAATTGGAAATTTGATATTGAGTCTTGTGACTTAATCTTGTTTAATATTGGCATGCTACATGGATTGAGTGAATAGACATCACCGTATGATGGTAAATGAGCTGTGTGATAGTAATAAAAGTCCTGTAATAGCTTGTACATTTTTTTAAATTGAAAATTTATCTGAAATGTTACTCTTAGTCTGTCTTAAGATGAAAGAATTCCTATTTTTTGTCTTAAAATTCTCTAGAGGGAAAGTGAAGTGCTGATAAATCGGAAACTTGTCAGTGTACTTACATAAGAAAAATGTCAATAGTGGTAGGACACAGAAATGCTCCCGTGAAGATCCGGGATAGAGTAGGTCTTCAGCAACCCATGCTTGCCATAAAAGGCAACTATGCTTGTCGTAAGAGGTGACTAACTTGATCAGGAGGTCAGACTCACTGACTTGGGTGATGCATGTCATCGTATCCCAATTGCGTTGATCGATGCTCATGATGTCAATCACTGGATTGTCTTGTCCAGACACGATTATGTACAGACAGCAGTCATATAGCTGGAATATTGCTGAATGCGGCGTTAAACAACAAACAAACATATAGGATGACAACCTCTTGGAGGTAAAATTTTCAGTTCTTTTATGATGTTTGTTAGTGACCATTCCAGTCACGATATTCCAGCGATATCATGGAAGCCTTTAAATAATCCAGTCTGGGTCAGACAAACCGGTGATTGATATTATGAACACTGTTCCATTCTGTCGGGGTACATTCGCAGGCAATCAACCAAGTCACTGATGAAAGCACCGAGATAAGAAGGAAGTCACAAGTTCGTTTTTTTTCAAGACCTGTTGTTCTCATAGTCATAGTTTTAACCACAGAATCATCAATGGCTTATTACAAGCTCAAACACTGGTACTTGATCCAGCTTGCTACCGGATGTGTTGCAGGGCAAAGCAAGTATTGTATGACATTTGATTACAGTAATTTGTATCTATGTACATTTGACGTATACACCACAGGAAGTGATCCCAATTTGTTTGGAACTAGGTAAAAGCTCAGACTGAGAAAATGTTGTTTTAATCTTTCATAAATGCATCATTTATTCAGAGGTACACTTTACCAAAATTAGATTTCCTATGGTTGAAATACCATCAGTGACATTCTTTATGACCCTACCAGTGATTTAACACTTTTCTTATTGTGGTATTCAGCAATCAAAATTAAATCAAAGTTACCTCCCTTTGATGTACAGATGGTTCCTCAGTGCAAAATGTTGTAGCACAATTTGTTTAATGTGTTTTGTAATAAAATGTCATGGCGGAAAAGTTTTATGAATGAAGTAAGCATTCTCAAAGTAAGAACGCAAACATTGTACTGGTTTAATGCATTGGGTTAGATGAGTAAAGAAGAACGCCTAAAGTACAATGTTATGTATCGTCCTCCTGCATTGCCGTTAATTCAACTGACATTTTATAGTCCTTCCTCCCTGCGTTTCATGTATATTGATATGTCTGATGACAGTCTGACATGCATGCCCTGGTATGATGGTGGCAGAGAAGGTCGTCTCCCACACACGTATATAGTTAAGCATTGCGCTTCTTGTTCTTACTGATAATGGAGGGACCGTGACTGAATTGCCGCCTGCCTGTTATGAAGTAATATTATTAGTCAAGCAGTTATCCTTCACATATCTTTCCTGGTTATCCTTTAATGTATTTGCAACTGTCTTGCATAGTATTTTTTCTACTGGTTGCTGTGATGCAGCTGCCAAATTGCTGAACTGCAGTGTTAAACAACACATATTTAAATTTTAATTTAAATTTAAATTTTAACAATGATTTTAATTTTAATGTTAGCAATCATTTTAATTTTAATTTTAATTTTAGCAATCATGCACCACTTGAATGTTTTTGAAGTAAAGATGATGCTTCTAATGACAATTTATTAATTCCAAATTGAAAACACTTAATTTCTTTCCTAATGTTTTCCTGGAACCTCATCTTTTCTTCTTCTTTTTTTTTTATGTTTCAGCTGCATATTGTACATCATTAAACTATTTGCTAGTGATCTTGGTTACAGCAGGAAAGTAGTACCATAGAAGAACCAGGAAAATTTATGTACAAATTTGTAAAAAATATCACTTAAATGGATGGATTGGGCCTTTGTGAATATATTGGAGTTCACTTATTCGTATATAAGATGGATTTATTATTTTAGCAATTTGTTTATTGTGTTACACCTTAAACATGCAGGAACAGCCCATAAGAGCTTTCATTTACTCAGCAGACTGTGTCTGAGTGGGGTATTCATGTTAAAACTGCAACATAGTATCTCAATAGGCTAGCACTATAAAACCAGCAATAGTCCTGACTAGAACAAGCAACAACGCATACGCGTGCGTGCATGCACATCGCTATATAAGTGCAATAATCTTGAACGCGCCGTTAAATCCCATTTCTCCTCTACTCAACATACAAGTGGTGAAATTTTATTTTTTTTAACTATCCCTTTTTTTCTTTTGAATATCATGGTTCTTGGCCATGAGGTCTTTGATGCCAAATAATGGAGTACATTTAACATGTTATATTCAAGTATAACAAAAGTATCTACTTTCAGTGTCTACTTCATGGACTGCCTCCGTGGTCTAGTGGTAGAGCATCCGCCTGGTGAGCGGAAGGTCCGGGGTTCAATCCCCGGCTGCGTCATACAAAAATAGGTTAAAAAATGGTACTTCTTGTCACCCAGTCTGGTGCTCGGCATTAAGAGACTAAAACGTGGACTGGTCGGCTCGGAGTCAGTATACTGTGTCTGAGTGGGGTATTCATGTGAAACTGTGGCATGGTATCTCAGTGGGCTAGCACTTTTTATATTGGCATCAATCCGGACTAGTACAAGCAGCCACATACACACACGTGCATGCTCGTTGCTATATAAGCGCAATATTCTTAGACGCGACATAAACCCCATTTCACCTCTCCTCTTCTTCACATCCACCACTTGTATGCCACCTAACTCAACAACTGCAAATGGAACTTGCCTAGGGTGATCTAGAATCTTAATCAGTTCATTAAGGTATAATCTTTCTGCACAGTACTTCTGTCTCTACTACCAGCATGGGGGATACATGAATATTTAAACATATTTCCTGCTGTCTCTTGATACCTAGAGAGCCATCAAGGTCAGTTAGTCTCTCTGAGGAATTCTCACTTTATCATTTTGTCGTCAACTCCCCGTTAGGACCAAATAATTATTTCTGACAGATTTCAGGACAGACAAATTCTCAAACGCTTGATTACCCTGGCTGTTCATAGTCGTGGTAGCGCAATTAATACAAGAATTATACAACTTCAATGAGGATGTGTTCTTTAGACGTTCACACCTTTGAACACATGTCAAATCAAATATTTTTTTCCAGTCATTGCATGTT